TGAGTGTGATTACAAACTAAAATATTTTTTTCTAACAAAATAACTTACAATAAAAAAAAAAGTTGAACAGAACAAAAAATGAAACGAAGAGAATTGATTAATAAATAAATACATATATATGCAATGAGACTTTCTAAATACTAAACTCATTAGGTACAATAATATCTAAGCATTAAATAATTTTATTGCAAACATATGTTATAATCGAGTTTCAATCAAATTTTTGTAAGAGGTTATATCTACTCCCTTGTTCTTAATTTATTTTGTCAACTTCACTTTCCTCAATTAGTGTAAAGACCAATTTTGAATTCTCCATCTTAATTTTATTTTATTTAGAATAGTACTAGCATATTTTCTTTGAGATATGCAAATCTAATCATGTTAAATGATCTCACCTACAAAATAAGACATTATTATGTCTAAATTTGTCATTTCAAATTTTTTCGTCATAATTTCTCACATATTTTACAATCATCTTCAAATTATTGTCGCTAAATATTAAATTATTAATATAAAAACACATAACAAGAGAATCTTCAAGCCCATTAAATTTAACCTATAAAGTATGCTCCTGGGGGTATCAAAAATTATTTTACATATGAATCAATTTTCATATACCACTACTACAAAATATGCTTTCAACGTCGCCATTTAACGTCGGTTAAAGCTGAGCCGACATTAAATACACTTTCAACGTCGGTTCCAAGTCAACCGACGTAGAAAGTACATTCAATGTCGGTTGGTTCTAGATGAACCGACATTGAAAGTCTTTGTATGGACACTTTCAACGTCGGTTCCTTGATGAACCGACGTTGAATGTGTCTTCACCAAAAATTCTTTTAAATTAGAGAATTGTCATTGACAGTGTTCGAACCCGATACTTTAAAGTTGAAAGTTGTTACTCCAACCACTAAACTACTGTAATTTTCTGAAAATAACTTACAAATTAATTATATTTATATACAAATAAATATATATTCACGTGTAAATATATATTTATTTATATTTTCTGGAAATTGATTTTATTTTTTTTCAACCAAAAATTCACTTAAGTTAGAAAATCGTCATCGACAGGATTCGAACCCAGTATTTTAGAATTGAAAGCTAATACTCCAACCACTAAACTACTATAATTTTTTGATAATAACTTACAAATAAATTATATTTATATACAAATAAATATCCGTGTAAATATATATTTATTTATATATATTTTCTGGAAAGTGTTTTTATTTTTTTCAGTAAAAAATTCACTTAAGTTAGAGAATTGTCATCGATAGGATTCGAATATAGTATTGTATAGAGTTGAAAATTGATACTCCAACCACTAAACTAGCTACTATAATTTTTTGATAATACGTTAAAATTGATACTCCAACCACTAAGTGAAAATACGTTAAAGCTCACGAAATTCACTCGTTCAAGCCTAGCTTGAGCGAAAATTGGTATTTTTCGCTTGAGCGAATGTGTCACTTGAGCGAATGATGCGTTTCCCAAATTTATTTTATATCATTCTATAAATAAATTATAAATATTATATTCTGTCATTAAATTACAAACTCATATAAAGAGACTCGCTCACAAATTTGGCATCAAATTTTGAAAACCCACTCGACACACACTTTCACCTTCGAGCGTGCCCTCACATCCAATATATAAATATATAATTATTTAAATATATCAAAAAATATAAATATATTTGTATTTATATATTTACACGGATATATATTTATTTGTATATAAATATAATTTATTTGTAAGTTACTATCAAAAAATTCGAGTAGTTTAGTGGTTGGAGTATCGACCTCCAACACTAAGGTACTGGGTTCGAATCCGTCGATGACAAAAAAATAATTTGGTAATGCTTTAAACTTTAAAAAAATATGATAAATAATAAAAATATAATATAAAAGAGAGAGGGACCTAATAAAATATAATATAAAAGAGAGGGGGATTTCTAGATAAATAGAGGGGTTGGAAATAAATAAAAAAATTTGATTTGAAAAATAAGACTTTCAACGTCGGTTAAATAGAACCGGCGTTGAAAGTCTTAACTTTCAACGTCGCCTGATACAACGTCGGTTCTGAACCGACGTTGAAGGTCTTATTTGTAGTAGTGTACTAAGATCTTGATGTCTACTTCAAACATCAAAGTGTTTTTTTTTTAATATATAAAGTTTATCATATAATCTACATGTTATTCTAGATGCACTTATTTATCCAAAGTACCATTTAGGAAAAAAGAGAGAGCATATTTCAAGTGGAGACATATATCATCATACAAAGTGTATATATAATTTCAAAATAGAAATAAATACTTAAAAATAATTCATGTTTAACTCTTTATTTGTACTTTTTTACTATCAATTTTACTTCAAAACGACTAATTTTATCATTTGAATTTATATTTAGTTTTGTAAAACCACTTTACTTCATGTTTTGTTTTCCTCTATTTGCATGAATTTCAACCTCCATGGATTTTTTTTTCCAATTCTTATGTTTTGTAACTTCTTTGAGAGTAAGTGACTCAATATACAAATAAAATAAAATTAATTAATAATTTATTTATTATATTAGAGATAACCAAATAGACTAAACTCAGTGGATCTACCTCAATTCATATACAAAATGACAGAATAAATTAATGGTTTTAGTCCAGTCAACTCATTTTAGTCTATCCCACCTAATCCACTAACTCGATAGGTCAAGAATGAAACAAGATGAATTAATCTGCTTTAAAAAAATATTTATATATTAAAATAAAAATATTATAATTAAATATATTATATTTTTTATGTAATATCATTAAAATATATAAATATATTACAATAATATAATTTAAATTATAAAAATTAATTTATTAAATTTAAATTATTTATTATAATTAATTATTCTAATATATAAATATAATATTTTTTTCAATTTATTTAATAAAAATATTAATTAATAAATAAAAACTTTAAAATTATTTATATAATTAAAGATATATATTTTAAAAAATATATATAAAAAATTATATATATATATATATATATATATATATATATATATATATATATATATATATATTATTAACGGGTTTGACATGTTATCACCGAACTAGGATATATCCATTTTAATTATAATGAGTCAATCCACTTTCTTCATTTTTAACACATTGTTATTATTTTTAACAAATCAGAGGTAGGACGAGCTAAATTAGACGAAGTTATTATTATTAGTTATATTATAATTATTTAACATGTATTAATTTTTTTATATGGTCTTCTAAATATCTCTTCTTCATAAAAATTGATTTCTATTTGCTGATTTTACCTTACATAATTATTTGGGATCACCATCTATTAATTTATACTTTTTGAGTTAAGTTTCATATTTTTTTTCCGTTAAATATCCATTTCAACTTATAATCATTTTCTTTGTCTCTAAATTCTATGTCTCTAAATTTGTATAACGGTCAATTAACACGTAATTATCTCTTTCATTATCAACTTTTTTTCCCTCAATTTATATAATATATAAAAAAACGTTGAGACGCTAATTTATATATTCATAACAATAACATCTCATCATAATTATTCATATACAATATATATATATATATATATATATATATATATATATATATTTTAAAAATTCAATTGGTAGTTAAAAACTATTAAAGTGATAATAAGTTGTTAAATTTTGATTGATTTATAATATAATTTTTAATGAAAAAATAATTGTGTCATGTATGTTTATTGATTTTTTATTTTTTTATTATAGCCCATTACTCATATATTTTAAATATAATTCAATGATTTTTTAATTTTCAACAACATTTTCTCTTATGTAATATTTTATATTATGATTAAAGAAAAATCGTTACAAAATATTTACCAGAAGAAAGCAGGACAAAGCACTTGAAAATGAATAGAAAAGAAATTTATGTTTCATGTTTCATGTTTCATAGGAGGAATATGTTGTCCAGTGGGAAGCCACAAGGGGATGTAGAGGATTGATTGGCCCATCCTCGTGGTCATGCTTATTCCTGGTGTTATTAGCTTTATATAATTGTACCTAACATCCATGTAAAAATATTTTTCAACTTTTTTCCCAAACAAGTAATTCGAAACACAGGTAGAAAAAAAAAAAGAATATAAAAGAAATTTATTTTATGGAGGAGATAATTGGAAATGTTTAAAACTTTATTTTTTACTATTCTTCCTTCCTAATTATAGATTTGGGGTTATAATAAGTTGATTTTTTTAATTATTAAACTTATTTGTGGACTTTCTAAAAAAATATTTATATTTAAAAAAGATTTTTTTTATTTCTCTAAAATTAATTTTTATCTTTATATTTTTAAATTGACAATTTTAATACTGTAACTTATAAAATACATTATTTTAACTTTTTTTATAGTTAAGTTTATTTTTTAATGAAAACTTTTGTCTATTACAAAATTGTTTAAATATAATTTTATATAATTATGTAGTTTATATCATTTTATTTTTAAATATAACATTTAATAACTTATTTTTTATAAAAAAATTAATAGAAATATTTATATTTATTTTGTAATGTTTAAAAATTAATTAATCAATTCTAAAAATAAATAATAACATAAAATTTAAGAAAAAATAAAAAATAAAAAATATACTTAAATTTTTAAAAATTATGTATCTAATCATGTGTGTCATAGATATCACCGAGTCCATGGCCCACTCTAGAAAAAACTTAAAAGTCTAAACCTTGCGCTGCAGAGAGTGGAAAAAAAAGGTGTAATTCGGTGCCTCGTTGGTCGTGTGCAAATAGATTGTGTCCAAAACATCAGTTCTTTTCAAGGACTACTTTGACTGTTTGCCAACTTTCCCGCATTTTCTTTCTTACTTTACTCACTCTTTTCCAAATCCCTTTCTCTCTCACTTTCTTCTTCATCCTTGGTTACTTTTTGGGTGCATAATCTTTCTCAGTTCCAAGCTGAAGCTGTAGAAAACAGAACTACTTCGTTGCAAAATATGGGTGCTTCTGACAACAATCACCACTTTCTCCAAGTTGTCTTCAACAACTTCGACGTTCTTGCTCTGTAAGTCTCCTCTTTTCTTTTCCAAATTCTATGTGCATTTTTTGGTTTCACTCTGGTCAATTTATTGCAATCATTTGGGTGTGAGTGTTACTAAATTCATTCTCTAATTGACCTTTTCTCCAGACCCTTGGTTACGCTTGCTTATCCTTTGTAAGTATACTTCTTCCTTTGTTGTATTTCTTTCATTTGGGAAATGTATGTTTGTTTGAATTTTCAACTATTCTGCATACCCTTTTGCCTTTATGGTTAGATATGCTTCAATTAAGGCCATCGAGACCAAGTCTACTGCTGATGATCAACAATGGCTCACGTATTGGATTCTGTATTCCATTCTCACACTATTTGAGCTCACATTTGCCAAAGTTCTTGAACTGTGAGTTTCTCTTCTAATGGCCATGTTTGAGCTATAATTTCATTTATGCTATCATGTTATGCCATATAATTTATGAATGGTTCAACATTGAATGTGCTCACTCTTTTCCTTTAGAAGGACAAGGAGAAAACATTGCCCTATCATCTACTTTATAAATTTAACGTAGTTGCTTCATAGTTTAACTACTGTTGTAATTTTTGGAGTATTTCAAGAGGTTCACGTCTCACATTTCTTGGTTTTGCTTAACTTCTAGTGTTTACATATCAAAATAATTTAAAGACTTTCAAATAAGCGAAAGTGTGGGTTTATGCGAATGAAATTGGGCCAAGAGGACCTGTTCTAGTGTAAATCGTCCCATTTGTCCCTTGCGTGCCCAAGTGGATTTTGTTGTTGTAAATATAGCAATTGTGTCAAACTTCAAATGCCTTGAGTTTTGTTTTCTTATCTGTTTATTATTTGGGTAAAGATTTTGAGTGTTCTCTCTTTTTGGTTTCTTTGCTTTAACTTCTGTTGTAGTGTTATTTCTCTATGTAATAGTTATGGTGCTAATTTCAGGCTTCCCATTTGGCCTTTTGCCAAGTTGATATTCAGTTGTTGGTTGGTTCTGCCTCACTTCAATGGGGCTGCAGTTGTGTATAGGAATTACATCAGACCATTCTATATGAACCCACAAATCCCAATTCCACAAGGCTCTCAAATCTGGTATTTTCCCCAAAAGAAGTCCTTATTTAGAGAGCCAGATGATGTTTTGAGTGCTGCTGAGAGATACATGGAAGAGCATGGCACAGAAGCTTTTGAAAGACTTATAAGCAAGGTACCATATTACTGATGCTTTTAGTCCAGAAATAATTTGTCCTGCTTCAAAGTTAAGATGTGTGGCTTTTTGGGACTATTCAGCTTTGCTTGCATTATTGTACAGAATAAACATATTATGCATTGTCTAATTCTAAATATACAACATTTATTTATGAACTAAAATCAGACTTATGGACAAGTCTAGCTCTTAAAGGCTAGCATGGGAGATAACTGTCTTGTATAAGTCTATGTTTGTATTTCGACTAAAACTATTGGTAACATGAATTCAAATGCAGTTCAACTCACAAGTAAGAAAGGGATACTTTGCAAAAGTAAGTTGTAGGTAACTTGACCTTATCAGAAACATGATTGTTAAAGTTGGTTTCAGGTAAAATATAAGTATGCGAATGAACTTTTGAAAGTGATCAAACATGTTATGATACTGGGTTTATCCTCCACAGAGTTTCGAACACTCTAAACGTATCTGCATGTTAGACGGGGGAGATTTGGTTACTTGGTGTAGAAATTTATTACATAATTCTATCTCATTTTTTCACATTGACTTGTATGAATGATTTGAGCTAGTCAACCAGGAATCACAAGCTGAAATCTCAATTACAAGTTGAAAATGCACGTGTTTTAAACTTTGTGATTCCCTTGTAGCAATTTTAGCTTTCCTGTGATTTTTACGTGGTATGTTTCAACACTTAATTTGAGTTTGGAACAATATTTTTAACTAAGAAAACATAATTGGTTTTGATGTGCAGAATGACAGACAAGCTAGGGCAAGGAGGAATGGAAATTACATGATATTTGATGATGACTATAGATATTGAACTTTCATTTTACGGAAGATATTGAACTTTGTTGAACCATCATCACTAATATTTCACTTTATCATGTTGTGTGATTTTTGGTGACTGCTCAGCAGTTGCTAGTGTTCTTTTTATATTATGTTGAGGAATTGATTTCCCAGTTATTCACTCAAAGCTCTCTTGATATATGCTCAGATTCCCTGTACTTTGCTCATACCAAACTACGTGCTCATCTTGTGGGAGAAAAAAAATTACTAGAGATGTGAGTAGGGCGTTTAAGATAATCTAATTTAATCAATTTTTAATGTGAGTAGGTTTAATCAGATGATAATAAGTAATATATTATTACGCAAATTATTACTAGAGATATGTTTTAATAATAAATCTATTTTAATTTAGCGTATAAATTTTTTACTTAATTTAATCTATTTTTTCAATTTATTCTAAATTATCTGATTAAACCTATTTTAATACCTTGCCTAATAATATATTAAATATATTGAATAAATTTGTCCTTTTCTATTATCAAATGTTAGAAACTCTTATAAAAAATAATAATTTAATAAATAATATCTTAGTTAATAAAATATTAAAATATATTTATAAGTTATACCACGACTGATCTTTATAAAAGAAACAACTATGGTAACGTTCTTTTTATTCTAATTATAAGAAATACATTACCACTTTCAAATCTATTAACGAAATAATTTATTTTTATATAAATAATTTATTATAAAATCTATTAATTCACTCACTTTCATCAAAATAATAATAATAATAATAATAATTTGTATTCAACATTTGATTTAATATTATCCAATCCTGTATATACTAAATACTTAATTTATCAAAAATTAATTGGTTTAAATGTAGCTATATATAATAACATTACTCATAATTCAAAGCAAACTTCAATCAATGAAACGAGTTATATAGTTAATGGTTTAATTAATATTTATATATATATATATATATATATATATATATATATAATTTTTTTTTCTTTTTCACTGTTATATAAGGAAGATGTGGATAGAGAATACGATTGAAAACATAAATTTGTAACCAACAAATAAAATTTATAATGATTAAAATTATTCTTCGTGCAAAATATATTATTAAATACAAATATTTTTCTGAACATATAAGTATGAATATAGATATTGCAGTTTCTGACCGAGACCTACCCATTATCATCCTAAGGTGTGTTGTTAATATTTAAGAGAACATTAAACACTTGTTTTTGGGCTTTAAAATCATAATTTTAAACTGCGTTTTTAAAACAGAAAATGAAAACAATAATGATTTTTTTGGTAAGAACAAAGTAATGTTTTATATGTGGCATAAAACAAAAATGCACTTTATGAAATTGAAACTCATAAAGTAAATATTTTAGAATATACAAATATACTATAATTAAAATTAATAAAATATACAAATGTGTAAACTATATTTAGAATTTATAAATAACAAATTAAATTATGACATAAGGTTGTGTTTTATTTTAACTGTGATACTTTCTTTTAAAAAGTTATTGAAATTTTATTTACAAATAAATAAAAGATGACATATTGAAATACAAAAAGTGATTAAGAAGATTAAGTACATGCATAGAGAAAAAATGATTGAGAGATATCTTCCCCTGATGTGTAAAATGTACAATCAAAAGTAATAGTAAAGGATATTTTTGGACAAATTCAAACCACATGAAAGCAAATAATTTTAATTACTACCATTTCTATTTTTTCATCTAAAAGCAAGCAAAACCTTCCCATAAACAAAAACAATCATTAACTAACATTCTAATCCTGAGGACACGAAGACACATTCTTTAAATACAACGTCTACTTTATGATTTTATTATATAACAAAATGTTTATAATTAAACACCCTAATTTTTTTTATCGTCCGCGAAATCCACCTGGAATTACTAGGTGTGGTAACGAGCACGGTGTACGGTGCATCCTCGAAAACACAGCCTTTTTTCCCATTCGATGAGTCTCAGATCAAGCAAGGGAAATCCCAAGGAGGTCTTACCGTAGTCAGCAGCATAGGGGAGTGAAGTCCCCGAAGAGAGCGACACCAGCGATGCATGTCGTTTCAAATCCCGAAATTGGACTCATTTGTCCCCCCAAAGTTCCAGAAAACGACAAAACCAGCCATCTCCATCTCCCAGATTTCAGTTGCTGACGTGGCATTAACCGGCAGAAAAAACAGTTAGCTCCTCTCAGAGAAGAGAGAGAGACCCCGTTCGCTTGTTACAAAAATTTCAAACGGAGCTCCGGGAATTCGAGCTCAGAAAGAAGAAAAACCAAGGCATTGTGTTTCGCCACCGCTACCTCCTCACCGCGACCTCTCCTTCTTCCAATTCCCTTCGCGGCGGTTCCAACGACCCCGACTTCTCCCCGAACGGTTAGGTATTTCGGGTTCTCCGAGGATTCCTCGCAATGTCGCTGGTTTCGTTTCCCGCTGCGTTGTTTCCTCCCACATTCGCGACGCCGAGGCCTATCTGTTAGAGGGAATCCGAGGAATTCCGAGGTTTCGGTGGAAAAGCGTTTTCTAGGGTTTTCTTTCGAGCTGAAAGTGGTGACCGGAGGTGAATTCCATGACGGATTTATGAACCCTGCGGTGTCGTTGAGCTATGGGGTTGATGAGAGTAGCTTCACCTGGTTAATTTGAGAAGCGCTGAATCGGGTTTCATGGGGATTGGTTGGACGTTGCTTTATGGTATATGCTTTATTTTGGTTAGTTGTTCAAATGGGTGTTGATTCCATTCTTGGGAAGCGCCACTTATTGCAGCTTGAATGGCTGATCCTCAGAAAACTGCTCTTGGCGAGAGAGATATCGAGCAGGTTCACCAGTTTTTGCCTTCCTTCTATTGTTTCTTCTGGTTTTTAACGATTAGTGCCGCAAAATGGAAAATTAAAGTAAAATTTAATTGCCTGTGTGTGCCATTCACCATACTTTTTAGTTTTTCATTGTTATGGTCTTGTTAAGATAATATATTTTTAGTGGGGTGAACAATAATTTCTATGACGGAAGTTATATACAGCTTCTCTGGTGCTGTTTGTACTGTTTCTAAATCATAATTGAAGTTTTATTATGGTATTGCCTAATCATTTAACACAAATCTTTATATTTGCGGATTACTGAACTTTAATTATAATTGACAAAAAGCCAAATCAACACCTGTCAACCTGGATCCATATTTTGTCCAAATTTATAATGGTTGCTGACATAACGAGACGTTGAAGCTGGAAGCATACGTCTTGCGTTGTGCTTCTTGGTTTTGGAGTCATGAATAAACTTTTACCGATAATTGACCTTTTTGTTCCTTTTATAGGCAATTACATTTCTTAAGAAAGGCTCATATCTGCTGAAGTATGGACGGAGAGGGAAGCCGAAGTTCTGTCCATTTAGGCTTTCCAATGTAAGTTGCTATTGTTATTGCTTCTTAAGAAAATTGTATTAGCTCATCAAAGGACTTAAAGCTACCTTCTTTTTTATTTAGAATTTTGTACTATTTATACAAAACAAACTTCTTAAGATATTACTGACAGTAACAGTGTGCTGATGGAAAGTGATAAACGCAGCAACAAATAGGCAAATATTATATGCATGGTGATAACAAAAATCATTATAATTGACTAAAACAAGTAGTTAAATGTGCATAAAATCCAGAAGTGAACAGCAGGATAGGATCATGTGAATCTTGTTTGAATAATCTAAGATGCCAAACAGCTTATATATAACATGCAAATTATGCTTTAGAGGAAGAAAAGCTCAATGCCTTTAGATGCATTGTGTCTTCATGGTTATAATATAGGACTTTCGTATATTTATTTTACGAGTATTAAACTTTTGCTAGGAATTTAAAATGTGCTTATTTACTTGTTTCTGATTTGTCCATTCACATATCAATTTTACATATGCTAAGTATTGTGTTTTTTTAAATAAATTTAAAATTAAGGACAAGAAAAGCCAGCATGTATCTTCTGTTTTACACTATTCAATGCTGTTAGTTTTGGTTTCAGGACGAGTCTATACTCTTATGGTACTCTGGCAAGGAAGAGAAGCAGCTTAAGCTCAGTACGGTTTCAAAGATCATTCCAGGGCAGCGAACTGTAAGTTTGTAAACAACCTAGTTAATACTAGGTGCCTTTATTGAAATTTCAATTATTTCCTTGATAAGCCTACACCTGAGTTCAAGATTACTCTCTGAAATGACTTTTGGGCTTTATTCTTTGTAGGAATATAGCTGGAAAAATACATATGTTTAACTGATCCTTAGTACTTGATTTTTTCTATTGGCTTACTGCACCATGCTCATTATTTTGATTTGGTGTTATCATCCAGGCAACATTTCAGCGGTATCCAAGACCTGAAAAGGAATATCAATCATTTTCTCTTATATACAATGATAGGTCCTTGGATTTGGTGCGTGCTCTTTCTGCATATTGTTAATTTGTTATGAAAGTTAAACCTGCTAGGCCTATAATTAAGATTTTCTCATCCTCTTTATCTGCTCACTGATCTAGTCGTGAAAAGCTTAGTTAGTGGGTTGAGTAAGATGGGGAATTTGTAACTTATGAACTTCAAGATTTGATTCACTGCTAATCTATGTACAGATATGCAAGGACAAAGAAGAAGCTGAAATCTGGTTTGTTGGTCTTAAGGCATTAGTTACTCGATGTAACAGTCGCAAGTGGAGATTGGAGTCAAGAACTGATGACAGTCAGTGTTCTGATAGTCCAAACTCTGGCACACGAAGATCCACTCCATCAATTACACCACTTTTTGTAAATATGGCTTTCATATTTTGTTTGTTTTGTACAGTTCTGATAGACATTTACGATTTGCTATATTTTTCACCTTTTACAATTTATACAACAGGACCCTGTAGATGCTGGAGGAGCTGCTTTTGATGTGCAAAATAGATGGGTTAAGGCTTTCTCTGAAATAATTTCTCACAACACAGCTAGCAAGAGTCCTAGTCATGCTGAATCAAATGCAAATTCCTCCTTATCCTCTGGGTCTATGGATAACTCAAGCAATCGAAATTCTGCATCTGACGCATTCCGAGTTAGTTTGTCTAGTGCTGTAAGTTCCTCCAGCCAGGGTTCTTATCATGAAGATTTTGATTCCCTAGGTGATGTTTTTATTTGGGGAGAAGGTATCGGCAATGGAATTCTTGGTGGTGGTGGTGGTGTGTATAGAGTTGGAGCCATATCTAGTTCTGAGATGGATGCATTTCTCCCCAAGGCATTGGAATCAAAGTTAGTTCTAGATGTTCACAGTATTAGCTGTGGCTATAGACATGCTGTTCTAGTTACCAAGCAGGGAGAGATATTTAGTTGGGGAGAGGAGTCAGGAGGTAGGCTTGGACATGGTGTGGAAATGGATGTTTTTCACCCTAAGCTTGTTGACACTTTTGGTGGCATGAATATCGAGTTAGTTGCATGTGGAGAATATCATACATGCGCTGTTACTTATTCAGGGGATCTTTATACTTGGGGTGATGGTGCTCACCATTCTGGCATCCTTGGGCATGGAAGTGAAGCTAGTCACTGGATTCCTAGGAAAGTAAGTGGTAACTTGGAGGGTTTACGTGTATCTTATGTGTCCTGTGGACCTTGGCACACAGCCATTGTTACATCAGCTGGACAGTTGTTCACATTTGGTGATGGAACTTTTGGTGCCTTAGGACATGGAGGTCATAGTAGCACAACTATTCCTCAGGAAGTAGAAACTCTGAGAGGGTTTAGAACAACCAGGGTTGCCTGTGGTGTTTGGCACACTGCTGCAGTTGTCGAGGTGATAAATGAATCTGTGGAATCTTCTGCATGCTCATCTAGTGGAAGATTGTTCACCTGGGGTGATGGAGATAAAAGGCAACTTGGACATCCTGATAGGGAACCTAGACTAGTTCCTAAGTGTGTAACTGCATTGAGTACTGAAAACATTTGCCAGGTGGCTTGTGGCCACAGTCTTACAATTGCTTTGACAACATCAGGATGGGTATATACAATGGGAAGTAATGCTTATGGGCAACTTGGGTGTCCTGCATCTGATGGGAAAGTCCCTACACGTGTTAAAGTTGCTGACAGTTTTGTAGAAGATATTGCCTGTGGTTCATATCATGTTGCAGTCCTGACTTCCAAGGCAGAGGTTTACACATGGGGAAAGGGTTTGAATGGGCAATTAGGTCATGGAGACAATGATCACAGGAATAAACCCACACTTGTTGAGTTTTTAAAAGATAAACAAGTGAAAAGTGTTTTTTGTGGTTCAAACTTTACAGCTGTTGTATGTCTTCACAAATGGATCCCAAGTGTTGACCATTCTACATGTTTTGGCTGTCGCAGTCCATTTAATTTCAGAAGAAAACGTCATAATTGTTACAACTGTGGACTTGTGTTTTGCAAATCTTGCACCAACAAGAAATCTTTAAAAGCTTCCCTTGCTCCCAGTTCCAACAAACTGTATCGAGTTTGTGATGACTGTTATCTTAAACTTAAGAAGAAACCTGCTGAATCAGTACCCTTCGTGCAAACTCCTAGCTTGAGAAGTGTAAGTATGCAAGAGAGAACCACTAAAATACAAGGGCTATTGAGGCTTTCATCTTTTGGTTCTGTTATTCAAACAGCAAGTAGTCACTCAAAGCTTCCAGATTCACAAGATAGCCATCGTGTCCCAGCTTCAAATGGAAAATTAGAGATGAGGGGTTTTGTTTCTTCAAAATCATCCAATTCTCTTCCTGTAGATTCTAAGAAACACCTTTCATTTTCTGAGCCTGCCGCAAGAATATCTTGTCAATCAACATCTCCAGTTTCATCTAAGTCAAGTCCAAGACAATCCTATGAAGATGTCAATGAGGATTTAAAGCACAGAAATGATATTTTAAGTCAAGAAGTTATAAGTTTAAGGACTCAGGTAAGACTAATCATATATTTCTGATTCATATGTGTATCTATCCTTCTAGAGAGAACCATGCTTGATCATGATGAAGTTATAGGGGATTTTCATGTCATATGTATGTATTGCACATACGTAATATTCATCTTTTAAGGACTCTGCTGCTTTAAAAGAAATTTATTTTTGATGAAATTGTTGATTAACTTCTTAAAACTTGCATATCTCTCATTACATTTAATTTGTTATAAGATTCTTTGGGCTAGAAGAATTTACTTAAAATGAAAGCAAGGTAATTACAGATTGTGGAGGACAAGGTGTCCACTTTACAACTACAGCAAAATCCTTATTCCACTAGGTGATGTTAATTACATGAATCACACGATGCCATTCTTCTTGGTTGAAGACAGAAAATAAAACACATAATAAAAGAGTTCCTAAGATGAGAAAGTTCTGCATATACTATACCATTTTAACTTTCTAATGTAAAAGAGCCCGTATATGGTACCATTTGCATCAATTGTTTACAATGCATTTTCATAAACTAGTTTGTATTTGCTGCTTAGGTCTGGGCAGCAGTCAACCTATAATCACATGATTTTTGAACTAAACAATTATGTTTATTTGTTTTTAACATGTATTAAAATAAGTACATAATTATATGATGCTCAAATTTAAAATAATTATAGTTTTTTACTTTCTTATTTATTTGTTTGTGATTTCCAAATGTTGAAAATGTTTGAAGTGTACTCATCCTGGAACTGATAAAATATACTGGTTAGGTTGAGGGTCTTACACGTAAATCAAAAAGGTTAGAGGCTGAACTTGAGAGAACATCAAAGCAATTGAAGGAAGTGACTGCAGTAGCTTCAGATGAAGCTGGAAAGTGTAAATCAGCAAAAGAGGTCATAAAGTCATTGACTGCACAGGTTGGGCGTTCTATCCGTAGGGTTTTCTTTTTCTCCCCTTTTACATTACTAAGCATGGTTGAAGTTTGTTAGGTCTTTTTATGTATTATGTAAACTGTGCTTTCAAGGGCAGATATATTACTAAAACTTTGGTTGCCGATCTTAAGAAGAATGGATTAACATATATAGGAAGGACTTCTGGTGAAATAATCTATTTTATTGGAGCATATAAATCATTTGCACTTAGCTTGTAACAAATATAGTCAATCATAGACCCCTCAAAGACTTGGTGAAGATATTGGCTAGTTGAACATTAGAGCTGATGGAAGGTTGTTGTAATTTCTCCAAATTCAATTATCTCCTTGATGAAATGACAATCTACTTTGATATGTTTTGTCTTCTCATGAACAATTAGATTAGATACAGTATGCAAAGCTGGTTGGTTATCAGAAATCATTTTCGTTTGTGTAGATTTTTTGAACTTAAGCACTTTTAGGAGTTACTTCAGCCTTATGAGTTTGCTAGTCATTAAGCTCGTAGCTTAATATTTTGCTTCAACATTGAATTTTGCTACAATATTCTGTTTCTTGTTTGTCGAGGATATTAGATTTCCTCCAATTAGCTCATAGTACCTTGAGGTGGATTCTCTATCATTAGGTGAGATAGTCCAATCAACATTGGAATAATTAACAATCTGAGCATGTTCTTTGTCTTCATAAATGAGACTTTGCCTAGAGCACTTTTACAACATTCTAATGGTCTTGGGAAGGTGAATTAAAGAGTTGACTTACTATATTAATTGCAAATGCAATATCAACATGAGTAACAGGTAGTTTAGCCTCCCAACTAACCTTTTATATCTACTAGGATTTGACAAAGGCTTCACTTAATTGGGTAACAATTTGATACTATGGTCTATAGGAATGTCAATTGGTTTGGCTCCTATATATATGTTTCAATACAAATAAATGGATTTTGGCTCATATATTTAGCTATATCTAATAGACCTTTCAAGATGGAGCAAGTTTGTTACAAATATAATCAATTCTAAGATCTCGTAATAATTTGGTGAAGACATTGCCAATTGAAATTGGAGTTAACAAATTGAGTAGCAAGGTGTCCAGATACAATCTTCTCCCAAATGAAGTGACAATCTATTTTAATATGTTTGGTTCTTTTAATGGAATACTGGATTTGAGGTAATATGTTGTGCAACACAACGTTTATCACAAATGAGAGTCATTTGTGTGACCTCCCCAAATCTCATTTCTTTAACCAACTGTTTGAGCCAAATAAGATCAGGTAGTAGAAGAGGCCATAGTTTTGTACTCCTCTATTGCACTAAATCTTGCCACTACACTCTGTTTCTTGTTTTTTTAGAAGATAAAATTTTCATCTATGAAAACACAATATTTGGAATTGGATCTCTTGTTGGAAGGAGAGCTTACCTAGTTTGCATTAGAGTAGCCCATAACTAGAGTGTGATTATTGTGACCATATAACAAGTCTTTTCCTAATGCATCTTTATTTTACTTCAAAATGTGAATAATTGCATTTCAATGTCTTGTAAATGGAGAATTAGGAAGTTGACTTATCATACTGACTTCAAAGCATATGTCTGGACGAGTAACCGTGAGGTAATTCAACTTTGTAACTAGCCTACAATATTTTTCAAGATCAAGAAGTGGCTCCTCCTATTTAGGTAGAAGTTTGGTTTTGGGATCCATAAGTGAGTCAATGGGCTTGACATTCACTAGTTCACTTACTTCTAAAATATCCAATGTTTACTTTCTTTAAGAAATAACAATTCCATTGTTGGATTATGCTATTTCAATCCTTACTAAATATTTGAGTTTGCCAAGGTCTTAAAAGTGACGAAAAATGTGTTGTTTTATCTATGAGATAAAATGATGATCACTACATGCAACATATACTACCTAGTAGATATACCTACTATTTGTGAGACGATGAAGCACTAAATGGTTAGTCTCGGTCTGAATAATAGCAAATTGTTGGACCATTACACTAGATCTACCAAACTATACCCTTGGAGATGGCTTGAGATCATATAAAGATTTTAAAAGGCAACATGCTAATCTAAAAGACTCCTCTTGAGCAACAAAATTAATAGGTTGTTCTAGAGAAATTTCCTCCAGCAATTCACCATGAAGGAAAACATTTTTGACATCTAACTGACAAAGCCAATGACAAAGGACAACCATTGGGAGGAATAAGTAAACAAAAGTCATCTTGGCGTATGGAGCAAAGGTGTCACTATAGTTCAACCCGAAAATCTGAGTATAACCTTTAGCGACCAAGCAAGTTTTGAGTCGGTCAATAATGCCATCAAAGCCAACTTTAATAGTGGAGATTCACCTACAACTAACAACAAATTTCCCAAGGGACAAAAGAACAATATCTCAAGTTCCACTTACTTACAAAGTACATAGTTCAAAAAACATGACTTATCTCTAACTAGGGTGGGCCAAAGCATTACCTATAGTTTGAGGAAGTGACACATAGAAAATAGAAGAGAGACAAGTATATAGGGGTGGAGACAGCCAATGATAGCTTATAGCAATATAATGAGGGGAAGGTTTCCAAGTAGAGCGCATATCTTTACGAAGAGCAATCGGAAGATCATAATAAGGTGATGGGATCAAACGGGATGAAGGAAGTAACATTGAGAAATCGCTAGTAAGTGGCCCATTTAGAAGGTGTGGACATGATCGACAATGGTACACTCAAGAGGAGGTGATAGATCAAACAACACATTGGACATGATTGTAGAATAAAAAACAAGGGGTGGGGGTGGGGAATGGACTAGGCTTAGAAGAGAGAGGATTAGATTCAAAGTAGAGAGAAGACCAAGGAAGATGACATCAATTGATATCAAATAAAGATGAAGGGAGGGTGAGAAACACTTATATCATTTTTGATATAGTGAAACGCTGAAAAAGACACATTTACGAGACCAAACTGATAGTTTATGAAGACTAGGACTAAGGATATGAACAAAACATGTAGCCCAAAAATCTCGAGGGAGTAAGGGGTGGAGAGGTTAATGAGGGGAATTAAATATAATGCAAAGTTTGGTTTTCTAAAACTGAAGATGACATGTGATTGATGAAATATCACATAATGAGGACAAATTCACCCTAAAATTGAAGAGGAACTTGACCATGAAGTAAAAGAGTTTGAGTTGTTTCAATAAGATGTCTATTATTGTGATTGATTACTCCATTTTGTTGAGGTATATATGCGCATGAGGTTTGATTAGGAATATTGTGAAAAACCATATAAGTTTGAAAAGAATGAAAAAGATATTCACAAGCATCATCACTATAGAAAACCCAAATAGAAACACCAAATTGAGTTTTAATTTTGCTATAAAAGGATTGAAAAATGGAAAACATGAGTAGAGGTGTAAAGATGGTAAAGGCCATGAAACACACTCCCGGTGCCAATAATCCATTCCAAACTCCAGTCCTGTAAGAAATCAAAATCTTTAGTATAAGAGATTGCACAATCAAGAGAACAAGTGAGTTGACTAAAGATTAATAAATTAAATGAAAGACCAAAAAATATAAAGGATATTGTCAATGGGAAGAGAAGAGAAAAAATGAACAGTACCAATACCATGGGGTGAGGATTGAGAACCATTAGCCATGGTGACAAATGTTAAAAAGATTGGAAGTAGAAATAGAAGAGAAAAGAGACTTAGTACCATAAATATGATTAATGGCACACGAGTCCAAGGACCTAAGGGCCAAGAGAGGTGGAGTGAGACTGACAAATGAATGACCTGTGCGAACAAATGTTGTGGAACTAGAGGTCTGATGTTCCTTATACCATTTTAAAAAGTTGTAGAAGAGAGCAGAATCTAGAACTATCAAATATAGTGGGACTAATATCAAGGGGTGGAGATGAAGCAGTTTGGGGAACAATAACAGTCTGAGGAGGGAAACCATGCAAGACATAACACCAATCAATTCTATGTCCCAGTTTGTGGCAATGATCACACCTGAGATGATCCTTGCTGAGTTTGCGTGTGCAGTGACAATTATTATGTTGAAGTACCAATGTAGAGGAGTCACCAAGTGATATAAACCTCATTTGCACAAGGACTGACTTAGGATCTTTAGGGTTAGAACCTTATAGGAAATTAGTAAGAAGGTGGATTAGAAAGTGGTGAAAGTTTCAGGGTTGGACAGTATTTTTGAAACATCGATATATGAACCTCATTTGCACAAGGGCTGACTTAGGATCTTTAGGATTAAAACCTTGTAAGAAATTTAGGAAATTAGTGAGAAGGTGGATTAGAAAGTGGTGAAAGTTTTAGAGTTGGATAGTATTTTTGAAACGTCGATATCTCAAGCTATAAAATTCCCAATTGAGGTGATTAAAAAACGAGGTGAAAGTTCTAGTTTTGAATTTCAATTTAGGCTAAAAAAATACTCAATTTGGACGAGTAGAATGAAAGTTATGACCATGAAATAAATCTAGACAGAATTGAATTTTTTGGGTTCTGGTGAAGAAAAGACAAATGGTGAATGTGAAAGATTGAAGGAAAGAATGACTCTTTCCAAGGGAGGCAACTCAAAGGATGTGTAAGTCCTTTGATAGAGTCAAGAGTTCTTAAATCACTCAAGAACTTAGGAGAATCATTCTCACCAAGATAAAATAGCTAAACTCTAATATTTTTGAATAAAACCCAAATTGTCTTTTTGATAAAAATGGTTCAGCTTATATAGAAGTTGCCATCAGAGTTACAAAGATTCAATAAAGGAAAATAAATGCTAATAATGATCTATTAACCTAGGAATTGAAAACTACTTAATGACTGATTGTAACTGAAATTGTGGCAACCAAAAGTCAATCAGCTATGCACCCTCTTGGTCTTCCAAAAGCTAATGCCTAAGTTTCCAATTGAGCCCTTATTATAACTTAAAACAAAACCAAATTAAAGCCCATTAATTGATTAACCCAAAACATAATTTGGTCAGCCATTTTTACAAAGGATTGTATCATTATTTAAACAAACTTAAAGACTGAAACAAAGTGATGCATTAGTCTTCCTCCATTTGGATCAT